TCATTCAGCCCGAGGGGTTTCTGTATCAGCAAGCATGATGGGGTCATCAACAAGCAGCCTGTTATGGTGGATTATATTACTTCTGTCTGCTGACTCAGCCTCCGCAGTGCTACAAGTGTTCAAAGATATGCATCATACCACTCTGTATAACCAAAATCCAAAATAGTCTTCTAAATTAATAATAAATACAAAATATGGAGCAAGTGCAACTAAAAAGTGTTAGAAATTAGTTTAAATCAAAACCAAAATAGCTAGATTTGGAAATGTATTGCCAGTAGCTTTACTATTTAATTAGAGTTAATAAAACATCTGGTTACCAGAGGCATGGGAGTGGAGTTTACTGAGATCTAATTATGACATCAGCCAAACCCTAGGTTTAAAAAAAAAATGTAACACTTTCCTGCAATTCTTATGCAAGTTTAAGCATGGAAACCAGCATTACGACTTGTTTAGTTGTACTGCAGCAGGTCATCCAAGACTGGTGAACTTAACTAGAGCTGAAACCCGTGTCCCTAAGCGTCCCAGCTGGTCTTTGTTTGGGATATTTCCGCCTGGTTACCTCCTGAGCTCTCTGTCAGATGTGGCTGTCTTTGTCCTGACTTAGTGACGGAGCTTCTGAGGATGGGGACAAAGGGGAGGAGTTTTGTTTAGACCATCTGTTGCTAAGACAATTCTTCTCGACTTTATACCCTCTGGCTTTAACTCTTTAAACACAGACACACGCAACATGCAAAGACACACACATCTGGCGTCTTGAGTCACTGGAAGACCCCACCTTTTCTACCATCATCTTGCTTCTGTTTATTCAAAGCAAAGACTAAATACCTTTTATAAGGATTACATTTTTTTAAAGGACAGCCATTCAAACATCCTCTAGTCTTCACAGCTGACCGCTAACACAACTTGACATTTTGGATGACATTTATTTTGACACAATAAAGAGAAGAAAGCTTTTAATTGTATAATGTGAATTGAAAAGCCATAGCAAGTTGGCAGTTGGCATTCGCCATGTTGAAAAAGCAGACGCAACCCGACTTTCGGTCAATCTAGTAACAGAGGCGGGTCTTTATCCTCCTTGCAAATAGAAATAATGCTAGCACCTGCTATTCAAATGAATTATTATAACAGTTATGAAAAAGCATGGAAAACTCTTATCCAAAATCAAATCAAAAGATGTGAGTCCTAAAAAAATTATCCCCCTACAGTTTTTACTTGAAGAAAAAAAAAAAGCTTGACAGAAAAATGGTTTTTGTACCAGACTGTAAACCTAATGCTGTAAAAATTTGCATTTCAACATGGAACCTAATTGGGATTCCTTGGCTTTTGGAGCCAGCCTCAAGTGGACCTAATCTTCATTTTGCAGAGTTGTTGCTTGGCTTAGAGATTTGTAGAAATGAATATGTTTTGAAAATCAGACTTGTGCATCTTTTTGGTTGGTTAGCTGACTTCTGGTTAGATTTTTTTCTGCAAACTTTTTAATTATACTAGCTAATGGGCAGTTCTCCTGTGAGCTAGTCACTTCTGCCAAACTGAAATAAGCATCTGTTTGTGCCAGCTTGTTGCTGACTTTTGGTCTACCATATAGTGCTGACTCATATAGTCAACCATTTATTATTCTTAATAATTGGTTGTCCTAATTCCTGCTTTAAAAAAACTTGAACTGGGTGGTATGCTTACTGTAGCGAGAGTTTTAACTTTATTTCATCTATTCAATTTGAACTGGGCATATCTTTGTTCATGTGGGTGGAAAACCTCAGAGACTCTGACTCAGCAACCTAACCATTAAACTCAGGTTGTTTATCAAGCCCATTGCATACTTGCATCAATGAAACTGACGAAATACCCAGATGTGGTGGAGAAACACACAGAACTCTTAAGCTTCTCTATATGTCAGGACTTGCCCGCCATCTCTTCCTTTTGTTACAACCTGCTCACTGGATGTTTCTTCACTTTTATGCCCACTCTTGTAGCCGGGAACATAGACAACAAGTACTGTAACAGCCATTTTCTACTGAAGTCATGTCCTTGTCATTTCCAGTTACATAACGGCAACTGATCTTCTTAGAATCTATAGAGTAAACACTATTAATCTCCTCAGTGGACCTCAGAGGACTCACGTGAAGCAGCTTTTCCCTGAAAATATGATGCATGCCAGGCTGGTACCAGACAAGCACAGTCGCTCCCTGGCGTGGAAGTCACCAATCTTCTTATATTGAAAGTGAACTGAGTGAATATGAGGCCATGTGTTGGATAATACCTCTGTTGTTTTTGTATTTTTGTTTGTGTGCCTCTTTTTTCCAAACAATAGAAGGCGGGACATCATCAGGAGCCTGCGCCCTTCCTCTTTCCCCCGTCAACCCCCATTCTCACTCAGCCTCCTCCTAAATTACACGACCTTCTCTTACCCCCCTCACGGATGTCCCCCGTGGATTGAGAGAGCCACATTTAGCTGTCCTCCATTAGCCGACTGAGGGGAGAAAAATCCTTGCTGATGGAAGTGGGTTTACAGGCTGACTGGTTGGACTAAGTGACCCTTTGTCCTAAAAGGAAGCCTGAATCACAAAACAATGTAGACCAACTTCAAGCTTTTGTCGATTTAATTCTTTACTGAGCCAGAGCTCTGTATCACACAGACAGCATTTAAGTGGATCAAACAACAGAATCTTGATCTTTGCTCTGACCTGCTTGTGAACATACTTGTGCTCCATGGATGAGAGTGTGTGTGTGCACACGTGATCGCCTGTTGTTAATAGTTAATGAGGATTGATGTCTGGAAGTGGTGACCTTGTATAAGGTTTCCAAGTGGAATCCATGAATATTGATCTCTTCAGTTTTATGCTCTGTTGGACATACAATTCCCTTTTTGCTCCATGTTTTCTCGGGCTCCTCCATGCTGGCACTTGGGATAATTAATGGGGCTAAGTTGGTCAGAGGTGGCTTCTTACAAGAAAGGATGACATTCAGGTCAATATTTCTTATTAAATATGCTTACTGTAAGTCCTACACTGAAAACCAATTTGCATTACATTACTTACAGCACTAAATTACGCGGGTTAGGTAGCTGATGTACACAAAGTGATTGACAGTCTTTGTTTACATTTTTCCACAGAAAAGATTCAAGATGGGTGATACATTCAAATGTAAATAAAAACCAGGATCCAATTTTTTTATTTTTTATTTTTTAAACATTTCTTCTTAAATTGACAAATTCAGCAGGAAGATACGAGGTACCACTTTTTCCACATGGGGTGCCAAAATTGACACAAACCCAAGTTCCTCAAGGGAGCTTCGAGAAAGAGTCTGAAATAAAGTCAAATAATGCTTTTCATGTCTTGCATAAAATACCTCCTCCTTCTACCTTTCACTTTGACCACAAATGATCTGTCTTACATCTCTTTGTTTGTGCTGCTGTTCAAATCATCCAGACCCTAATGTGTTTAGCTGTTGACCTTAAAGAGGACATATTATCCCCCCTTCTCCACCTTTTCAAACAGTCCCCTGTGGTCTAAATGAAACATCTGTGCTGTGCTTTGGTCAAAATATAACATGAATCAAGCACCAGAGGAGGTTTATGACCCTGTATAAACCAGCTCTCTCAGAACGCTCCGTTTTGGTGTGTGTGTCTCTTTAAATGCAAGGACCCCCCCCGAGTTTTCCCAGTAGACATCACTCCTCTGTAGAGAGAAAAAAAATGGCGGACCAGCACAAAAGTTTTGTTCTAGGCTGGGGTTTGAGTCCATGTGTGGAGATATCAGCGGAGGGGAGGGGATACTTTTTCACCAGAATCCAGTTTGTGACATCACAAACTGAGAAAATTTGAAACACAACCCTTTTCTCTGTGTTGTAAGACTTATGTAGACTAAGTCACTAACTCAGGTTACCCAAATATATGTTCATGTATGTAATGTAACAGATGTAAGTGCATTTTTCATAATATATATAATAAGAGGTGCTTGATTGGTGTTAGGTTCTAGATTTATGTGTTACCCCTTAAGCAGAAAGTGCTTCTTTATGCACAGCTGCATATGGTATTTTAATACTTTAAAATGTTCATTTTCAATGTTATAGTTTCACCATCAGATACTGTGTATTGTTTACCTTAATGTTGGTTGTTTTTGAACTGACACATGCGGATTTAGTCATCCTAAAAGATTTACAAGACCGACCACAGGCATCCACAACAGTCATTAAAACTCAGTGGGTTCTATAAATGTGTCTTTCACTTCCACTGTAAGGAAATGACCGTCGGTGTGAGCAATCAGCCGCAGATTCCTGTTATTGCTGCTCGTTACTGAGCTGCTAACAAACATGTCTGGGAAGGGACTTCACATAGATAAACCAACACAAGAGACCAGGCCGCTCCGATCAGCTGTGTTGTCTGTGTTTTTCCCCATCTGAAACCAGAGGAGGAGGACAAAAAATGTGTAATGGCTGATATTCTTCAGAAGCAAATGGTGCTTATGGGTCATATCCTTCTGTTTGAGTGTTTAGCCTTTATTAAAAAAAGTTTAGAGGCCTTTTTGACAGTTTTACTGTGTGTGTAATTTGTATGACTTTGACTTCTAGTTTTAGTCCCTGACACACATGTTGGCTGGCGAGCAACATTTCTCCTCTAAAAAGCAATGACAGTTTAATAAGAGGATAACTGTGCCAGTTTTAGTGGTGAAGGAGTAGCTATGTGGCAGAGTGGTGAGCAATGCTGGGAAATGGAGAAAAGTGAAAGAAGAAAACCAATTATATGTTGCCTTTCCTTTTCTTTTTTTACTGAGCAGCTCTACATTTGTATTGCACCTAAATGGCATATACTGTATATATATTTACATGTTTTTAGGTTGAACGTTGCCTTTCTTTTCTCAGTTCTACATAAGGGACAAGCCTTATCAGATTTGTTCTTGAGGATTTCTATGAAAACTTCCAGTACTTTCTTCATCAAACACAGGACTGCAGTCCAAGCCCTGCGTCCAGATGCTAATGCTGTTCTTGTTGCTTTTGTGTTGTAGGGGGCCCGTGTCTGGCTGAGACACAAAGACCAGCTCCACCCCTCCACCATCAGCTCCTGTGATGATTCGTCCCTGGCCCTTACCACCGACTATGGGAAGGTAAGAAGGCTTTGTTTTGCACTCAGTGAGTTGTCATGAACATAATGCATCGTGTTATCCATCGGGTATGTGAGGAGGTTAATTGTTTGTACATGTGTGTCACGTCGGGGTCCAGCAGTGGGATCAACACCTTTTGTAAGAAAGTAAGAATGACAGGAATGGACTCCTTGTGTCAAGTCATTCGCCTGAGCTTATCTGTTTGGCAGATCATGGTGGTCTTTGTGTCTGGAGGAAATCCTGTTCGACACAGAGCCGGAGAGAGAGGCGAGACAGAGAGAGAGAGAGAGAGGGGGGGGGGGGGGGGAGCGAGAGACCGGATGGTGGTGGTGGAAGGTTAAAAAATAGATCCTCACTCAATGTATGTGGGTCAAAAATTAGTTTCCAGTGGCTCTTAGGGAATGTCTTTGTACTGAAATAAACCGCTTGGCGGTGCACGATGGTGCAAAAGCTCCAGTTGGTCTTTTAATCAGGTCAGGGTTTAAGGAATAAGGTAGGGCCCAAGGACTGACTGACTCTTCAGCATCACTTCCTCATTTGGACAATTAAATTTTTTTTTGCAAAGGCAAAAATCTGGATCACTATAGTTATTTCTATCTTTAATAAATAGATTTGGTCACCATATTTATTTTGATAATGCTGATAATGAAGGAAGCCTGAATTAAACAGAATGTTTATCAGCTACAGTAAAAGATATCTTTGTGTTTTCAGCCTTTATTGACAGGGAAAGCTGAAAAACAAAACAGAAATCAGATGACATGATGCTGCAAATGGTGAGGATTGGAATCAAACGTGAGCCACTTGTGTTGTTGACTGTGATGCACGCAGCAACAGGAGAGCTGTCAGGGAATAACATTAGTTGAACTATAGTTTCACACATTTTTAAGATTGTATTTGGTTTGTTCTTTTGAACTTAAGAAAGAAAACCCTGATTAACCAGCTTTATGTTATACATCTCTGATAGTCTTTATCTGATCTGGTCTTTAGGTTAGGAATCGGGATCTGTTATCTAGGGTCTCCCTTAGAATAAATTGGTTAATAAAAAACAGTTCAAAAAGTCTAAACAAAGCAGCACAGTGAGTACTAAATGTCAAAAGTCTATCATCGTTATCAACCATGATGTTTTGCAATCCCCTGCGGATATTCATTGATCACACAGCTTCAGTCACACGGCTTCTTTTGAACCACAAGCTAAGGCTTTGTGTCCTTCTTTAATGAGTCCATGACTGTTTGTATAAAAAGGGTGGCATGTGACTAGAGGTCATCAGTGGAGAATGAAGGGTCTTTAGCTTCACTAATAAATCGCTTTGAATAGTCGCATTCTTTTTTGGGTGTTAGTTTTCTATAATCCCTTTTCAAAGTAAGTGTAACACAACTTACTTGCAGATTGCAGTGTTGGCATTTTCAAAGTAAAAAGCTATAAAAGACGTGTGAGAGGGGAAAAAATGAACTCATCTCTCCCATGTGCCCTCATCCTGAGCACGTTGGTTTGATGTTTCTCTGGTCAGTGGTGAGGATTTCTGCAGAGTGAGAAGTCGATATGTGGTCAGAGGGGGGCGGGTATGACTCTGCATGATGGAATCAACATCTATCACAGCTAAGAAGGATTTACAGCTATAGGTCGTAGTGAAAGGAATCAGACCCCACTTCTTATTCATCATCTTGGTGTGTGAATGGAGAATCTCACAGGGTGTTGCTCTCAGTCCAAAAGCATGCAACGCCTTCAGAGGGATTTCAAAAGATAACATTTGGTTAACTTTAGTTTGACCGTGAGCAGGGTCATGGCGTTGAATGCTGGCCTGTCACATATGATCTTCGCATGTAAGCTCAGGATCACCTGGTCATCAGGCCAGGCATATGGACGTCTCCTCTGCGTCCAAGTCCTGAGACAGTGCAGCCAGAATGACAGGAATGTGAGATTGAAAAACAAATTGTCTCCACCCTCCGGGTGGCTGCCTGACCTCATATGATCCCCTGGATCACATATCTGCTCATCTTATTCTCATTTTCAGATTCAAGTGTATAATCTTTATTTAACCCAGCTTCGGTAAGGGTTAGGATGTGTGTGTGTGTGTACTGTCTTTCTGTCTGTGTGGTGTCAGACGGGGTTTGGTAAATGCATCCTGGCAGAATTTTCCCCTCTGTGTCGTTTAGATATACCATTATCCATTTCTTCAGCGCTCACACTAAGGTGCTGCTCCCTGTCTGAGTGCTCCGCTCAAGACACTCAGCCCCGGCTGTAACCGGCTGACCTGGCTGCTGTCATATTAACCATCATATCAGCATCCATCACTGTCTCATCCTCGCAAACCACAGACCTGTGTGGAAGAGAAGACACAGCAACATGAAGCTGAGAGCTATACAGTATATGTCGTGTGTGTGTGTGTGTGTGTGTGTGTGTGTGTGTGTGTGTGTGTGTGTGTGTGTGTGTGTGTGTGTGTGTGTGTGTGTGTGTGTGTGTGTGTGTGTGTGTGTGTGTGTGTGTGTGTGTGACCAGATGGCACCAGCTGGATTAACAGTGTGTGAGTTATTCCCAGAGGGAAGCACATGTAAAGAAAAGCAGGAAGAGGCTCTGTCACCTGAACTAAACAGCCGCTGGTGGTGATGATGTCATCTGTTTCAGTGTTGCTTTAGTTCCAAATTCTGTTTCATGCTTTTGTCTTTGGACACTTAAGGATCTTAATAAAGCTGTAAGTTAACAATTTAACATCTTGAAAAATATTTCATATTAATGTTATAGTTGTCGGGAAAGACAGACACAGCTGATTTATGGCTTAGCATCCATCATTGAAAAGTATTTTGTACCAATTTGTATTAGGCTCATGTTAGATCTTCAAAAAGTAATCATTTAAATAAAATAAATAACAGGAGCTTTAAATTGTCAGGATTTGCAGTTTTTGTTTCAGATGATGAGAAACTGAAACTGAGCGGCTAGTTTTGGCTAGTAAAACAAAAGAAGCTCTTGATGATGTCAGATTAGCATCATACATTTAATAAAAACAAAACACCAACAATTAGCAGACTATATGACATGTTTAGACATTGGAATCTTTCTATTTCTATTACAATTGTATGCTCAAATAATATTTTAAACCAACAATTAGACACAGACCCTTTGTTTCATTTGGGGTATTTGCTTGGAGGGCGAAAAATGTCCAATTTACAAAAACTGCCATAAAAATAGAACAGATTAATGTTTTTATCTACTTTTTTTTGCATAAATCTCTTAGGCAACTCCAGCCCTAGTAGTGTAAGACTGAGAGAAGAATATCAGAGTTGACTCTTAACAAAATAGTGTGATTTCTGAAGTTGTTTTCAGCCTGCTGCCCTACAGTGTCTGTGCTTTAAATAGGACATTAATGGCCCCTCAGTCTTTTTTGGATTATTGCTCAATGGACTCATTATGTGACCTTTTATGGGAGTGATGTGCATTCACGAGTGTTCTCACAAAATAACATGCTGACACAAATATTAATGTGAGCTTCTGTTTGAAGAGTAAACTGTTTTTTTTCTTGTATGTTAGGTGATTATCGATATGAATATTATGAATGTTCTTTGAGCAGTATTTCAATATAAAACTCCCTCTTTTCCCATTAATAAGCCTATCTCCTCATGACCCCCCTCCCCCTGTCTCGAGGGTCTGGGTGGGATTCCCCTTCAGCAGATGGATTCACTGTAAGACAGAGAGCGAGTCAGACAGAGTGAGAAAAAACAAACAAACAAGCGAAGCAGAAGCAGACAGTGATAAACAAGACACTGTTGGTGTGCACAGGCCTGTGATTTAGTCTGTGCACATGTGTCTTTTCTAAAGGCCTGAATGTATCTGCCAGTGAGGGTCCGCTCAGCCGAAGAGCTGCTCCGCCCTCATATGTGAATATTCAGGAGAGCTGGTGGAACAAAGCAGCAGCAGGGTGTGGTTTCAGCCCGGAGGAAACAAAAGGAAAAGAGCGTTACAGCTGCAACAGAGTTTAAAATTCAGATGGTTGTTTTTGTCAGGAAAGCTATTCACACTATTACGTCTGAATAATTTAGTAAGGAATTAGCATTTTGCCTAAATTTTAAACATATTATTAACACAAATTTACAAGATGGCATGACTTTCTAAATAAAGTACCAAAAACATTTTTTTATGTTTCAAAGCCATATGGAAGAAAATGTGGAATGCAACTTGTGATTCCTTTTCATTAATAATGAATGTTTTGAGGACAAATATGTTGCCAAAGCTGCAATTTAGACATTGCTCTCTCTTTAGCTTGCAGCAGCTTCTGGTTAATTATATGACACAATATCTATTTTTTCCTAAGCTTCAGGACTTTTAGTTGCTATCTGTAGTAGCCAATTTACTATGTGTGTGTTTATGTATTGTATTTCAATGGTTTTAGTTTATATGTTTATTTATTTACTTCATTTGGACACTAGGGGGAGATAATGGATATTGTGGGTTAATTGGTCCGGTGGTCAATCAATACATTTTTATTTTGTATAGCATCAACTCATAACAAGTGTTATCTCAAGACACTTACCTTACTCTTTGTCTGTTAACATTACAAAAGAGCAGGTAAAAAAGACCTTACTCATTGTTATGTTCCAAAAAGCAGGTTAAAGACCTTACTTATTGCTATGTTACAAAGACCCGGCCTATCCATCATGAGCACTTTAGCAAAGCAGCAAAAGTTACAGTGGTAAGAAAAAACTGCCTTATTAAAAGACAGAAATCTGTTGTTGTTCTGGCAGGCCGTCAACCAACGATCTTGAGGAGCCTAAGAGAGCTAAAAAAAAAAATACAGACTGTGTCTGCCTCCCGGACCCCAGCTGGAAGAAGATTCCAGAGGAGAGGAGCCTGATAACTGAAGGCTTTACCTCCCATAGTACACTTAGAGACTGTAGGTACCATGAGCAGGCCTACATTCTGGGACCGTAATGTTCTCGAGGGGCAGTACGGCACTAGTAGCTCCTTCAGGTAAGATGGTGCCTGGCCATTTAGAGCCTTGTAGGTGAGAAGAAGGATCTTGAATTCTATTCTAGACTGTATAGGGAGCCAGTGCAGAGAAGCCAGGACAGGAGTGATGTGGTCCCCTTTCCTGGTTCTGGTCAGTACACGAGCTGCAGCGTTCTGGGCTAGTTGAAGAGTCTTTAGAGACTTACCAGAGCACCCTGACAAAAGAAAGTTACAATAATCCAGTCTGGAGGTAACAAATACATGAACTAGTTTTTCTGCATCATTTTGCGACAGGATATTCCTGATCTTGGATATATTACGAAGGTGAAAATAGGCTGTTCTTGAAATTTGCCTGATGTGAGAGCTAAAGGACATATCTTGATCAAATAGAACTCCTAGATTCCTAACAGTGGTGCTAGATGCCAGGCTGATGTCATTAAGGACCGGTATGGTGGAGTGTTTATAGGTCAGGGGTGAACAGGAGCATAGATGGTGGGAACATACAGTTCTTACCATAATGTAATGTAACGTAAACGACAACAAACAATTCTAATCCGGGCAACAATCCTTCATCTTATCATCATTATCACGGTTTGTCTGCTTCATATGTTACAATAAACAGGAACTTCACACAGAGTCATTTCATTTTGGACATTTGTTTATTTTTTGGTTACAGGTCGACATTGGATAGTCACTACATCTGTCATTTATCAATCATCTATCTATCAATCAATAAAATAAAGGAGATAGACTCGTTAAGCTCTTTCAAACACCTGGTATTGAAGAGTATTGAAGTATTGAAAAGGTTGACAACATTAAAAGATAACTTGAGAAATGTAATCATTTAATCTTTGACTTTTTATTTATTTCACAAAGTAGAAGACTGCTGTTCACGTTTTTGAACAGAAGTCAAAGTACTGAGTACAATTCATGTTTCTGGGTTTTATTCAAACAAAAAGGGAGGAAGAAATAAAACAAGAATAGAAGCAAAAAGTGGATATACCAGCTGAAACCACATGTTGTCACTCAGCCTTTGAAAGAAAATGTAAAAATGTTTTGTAAAGTTTGAGACTCAAAACAGAAAGTTCTCTTTTTTCAATCAACGTTTAGGTTTTTTGTGTAGCTAGTATGTCTTCATTGTGTGTGTTTCTTACGCTATAGTGTCAACATCAGGCTCTGTTAGCAGAGGATTGATTGATTGATTGATTGATTTGAGTACTTTTTTATAAATCTATCACATGTCACATGTTATAATCAATATCATCAGAAATCACATCCTTTTACCACTCAGATCATCTGCATTAATGAAGCTGAACTACTGAAGCCCCAAACATGCATTACATTCCCCTCCACTGGCTGGAAGCAGCTGCAGAGCATCAAACCATTGTTTGATTTGTTTGTTAGGAGTTTAAAATCAATATCAGCAGACACACAGTTACATCACTGCAGGTCAGTCAGTGGGATTGTTGGTGTCTGTACAGCTCTGAAGCTCCTGCATTATCAATGTTTCACTCCATCTTATTGTTCTAATGGCCACTTACTGTACAGAGCATTATGGAAACTTGTTAGGATTGTAATGAAAATGGGAAAGAGTAATAGACAGTGCCCCGGCATCTTTATGCATTTGTGAGTTGTGATCCATCCAGCCATAAGTGTCACTGAAGTTTAGACACAAACACATGTTAATGTGGAGTACTGTGGCTGCATTATCAAAGCTGAAACCCAACAATGAAATAAGAGCACAGAGGGGAAACACAGAGGGACATTAAACCTCTTTTGAACCTTCAGCTCACTTCTCTCTGAGCATCTCTGATGTTGTCAGGCATGAAACACCCCAAGGCTCCCTCTGTGAAATCTGAGCAGAGTTATCCACAGAAGATCAAAAAACAAAGGTCACCTTATATGAAGCAAAAGACTAACAACCCAAAGATACAAACATTAGGAGACAGTTCCTCTCTTGTGTTGTGTTGTGGTACGGGTGCTTTCCAAATACACATACTCTTTGTGTGTTTGGCTAGAGCTGCTATATTTGTTTTCCTGCGCTGAAACTTGAGGTTCTCCCTGAAACCGAGAGTGTAACATGGACCTGAAGCGTCTTCCAGATGTTTGTTATCCTGTATTATCTTCGCTCTGAGCCACCTCTGAGTAACTTTGAACTTGTGTTTTGGGAATGGAAAGAATGCTGACACAGGATTAAGACGTCTCAAATGTCTTTGGTTTGTTTGAGCAAATGTTGGACATAATAAGTAAATCTGGACCTATAGGAGCTATAGGAAGCTGATATTTTCAAAATAAAGGTCTAAAAGGTGGATATTTATTTTTATTTTCTTGTAATTTACATGAACTGAAGATGAAGAAATTCAGTAACATATAGGCCTATAACAAATGTTAGCTGAAGCTGCTTTTTGCATTTCTTTTAGAGTATTACTTTTGTGTTATGGCATAGCACATTTCTCCCTTTACAATGTTAAACTCATAAAGGCCCATTCAATAAGAAATACAAACCCCACTCAATGTAGTTTAGGCTTCACTCAGGTTTTGTGTAGCTACAGCCTGACAACAAAGACTAGCTTAGGTTTCTAATGCTATAGCCAATTAAGTAAAACTTAGATACTGTAGATAATTCTGTACTTTGACACTTCTTTACATGTTTTACTGTTTCAAATGTGGAATAGATAGATTTAAAGTTGTTCCTATAAAAACACAAGAAAAGGCTATATGTCTCTGATAGAGAATTAAATATTGTTTGAGGTTTTAACCTGATTTTAGCCAATTATTGCCTTAATAGCTGAAGATAATCAGAACAAATACAGAAAAAGAAAAAAATATATAAAAATATTGTATTGTTGTATTTAAAAAAATAAAATTATGTTCTGATAATAACAGAAAAAAACGCTATTGAAACATCTCCAGTTGTTCGTGAGGACATCATCACACTAAGTGAGTGATGTAATTGAATGTAAAATGACGATGCTGAAGTGCAAAGTCTGTTACAGTATATGTTTATCAGTCAGTGAGGCCCTGCCTGCTAAATCGGGGCCAATTTGCCAGAGAGGATGGGTGGGGTGGGGTTAGACTAAATGTTGAGAGGGACATCTGGCCGTAAATCTGCAAGCCTCTGCTCCAACATGACATCACTGCAAGTGCTGCTCACTCCCTCAAGGTGAAAGGGTGAAGCTTTCACAAACCTTAATACCACAGAAACATGTAGTAAACCACTGAAGGCTGCATTGTTCTTGTGCTGTTGTAGCTATGTTTGGATTTATAGATGGAGTCAGCTTTTCAACAACGGTATCTCCTTTCAAGCTTGACTTGTTTTAGGCTATGAAAGATGAGACACAAATACCTTCCAAAATAAAGGTTTGTTTCATAAAAGAAGTAGTTCAGAGGATAAACAACAGTTTGAATGACTAAGAGTCTCTTTTGGAGTCCTCTAGCTTTATTATGAGGACACTGACTTATTTACAGCGTAATTCATCATCATTCATTATGTAAACAAATTGGTCATATTAGAGAATTGTTGTCATCAGAATTATTTAACACTTAGGGTTGACAACTGTTTAAAGGATATCTATATAGTTTTAACCCCAATGCCCTTTTCCCCCCGTTTTATTTTCTGTAAGCTTTTATTTTTTTCAAATTCCAGACAGCAAACACTTTTTTCAGCTAGCTAGTGAACATAGGGAGGCATGCTGCTTCTGAAGAACTAAATATTTCCTTTAGGAGTTATGTTACTCAAAAGAGAACCAACAGCAGAGTGAATGTTGCACTAAAGTTGGTTTACTCGTTACAACTTCATAAAAATTTAGTTTTTGTTGAACTGCCTTTAACATTAAATCAATAAAACATCCTTGACATATTATCTTATATACGTTGCATTAATTCCCTTTAAAGATTAAACGTCAGACTCTCATCTACACTCACTAATCAGCTTTCTCTGTCCTGACTCAGCACTACTGGGTGAAAAAAAAAAGGTTTTACTTCCATCTGGGACACATCTGAACACACCAGTATAACCATCAGTAATACATAAAGACACCACAAACTCAGCTCCTCGGACACAAGTATTGATCTCTCAGACCAGTTTCCCATCAAGTGACCATCACAGTCTGTCTGATATCTCATCTCATGTCTCTTCCTTTAGAGTTGTGATAGCCAGAAAGTCTGCCAGACTCTCTGTGGATCTCTGTGGGTTTCTTAGACTGCGTTCCTGTTTCATTGCTACAATAGAGACACTGTTTTTTGTTTTTTTTATGTCTACCTTTCTTTGGATTCAATTCAAGTTAAAACTTAATCAATTCCCATATCATCCTTTGTAGTTCCACTGTTCAATTGCATATTGCTACTGTCTGATTTCCATGCCATTGAAAACGGAATATTTTGCATTTTAGCTCGACAAAAATTAAAGTTTGAAATCTTTTTGGGGGTTAGGGGAAATTGTGATGGTGACGCTTTCCAGTTCCTGATGTTATATAGTTTATAGAAATTGTATCTTTATCTGATTGTATATATATACTGTAGCTGGCTTTATGTGGTAGTAAGACATAACAGACAATAGAGCCAAATATCCAAGCCAAGCCACACAGGGTCATCCAGTTCAGTTTAAAAGCTGCCAGCCGAATGCTGCAAAATGAATGATGCAGAACTCTGCTTGCACTTGGACTTGGACTTTAAAAACTTTTTTTCATTGATTGATGGTCAAGTTTCAAGCTGAATGTAAAATTATTTTCTGGAAGCTTCTGCAAGTTCAAATAAAGTTGATCAGCTTTAAAATCCAACTTTCTTCTTTCTTCTTGTGTGTGTGTGTGTGTGTGTGTGTGTGTGTGTGTGTGTGTGTGTGTGTGTGTGTGTGTGTGTGTGTGTGTGTGTGTGTGTGTGTGTGTGTGTGTGTGTTTGTGTCGTTTCAGGTGATCTACCTGCAGAGGGCAGAGCTGAGCAGGGAGATGGTGTACCCGATGCACCCTAGCAGCATCAATGGCGTAGAGGACATGTCCACGCTGGCAGAGCTGCATGAAGCCGCCATCATGCACAACCTCTTCATGCGCTATCAGAGAGACAACATCTATGTAAGGCTCCACATGATCTGTATCTGTTTGCATAATTCACCATGAATCACCATGGCTATTTGTTGGGCCTTTTTCTGGAAAGGGGGTTTTGCAGGTTGGAGGAGAGATCATTTTAGATGTTATTACCTTGAGTTATCCAAATAAACAACATCAAGAGGAAATGTCAACTAAAGCTTGATTACATTTTTTTAATAGTCTTTTCAAGGGGCATTTTAGGACATAAACACTTAACAAATAACTCCTGTATTACCTTTAATAGTATTCATGGGAGGATTTTCCTTTCAGAAGGCAAGATTCAAATATGTTTGTTTGACCCGGTCTCATTCCCAGGATTACTTTCACAGCAGGGGCACTGAGGTCTTCCTTGAAACACCCTCCAGGCTTTATTAAAATAATCATTACACACAGACACATGTTAAAATCCCATTTCCTAATCCCCCGCCCGTAGTTGTGCGGCCGGTCTGTCCGCATGGCATAAGAGAAAGATTTCATTGTGGAATCATGACCCATAAACACACTTTTGTGAGACACTTTTTCCCAAAGCGCATTACCCGAGCAGGAGCTGAGGATCCTAAAATATTACCAGCTTCAGCGCAAAGTAGGCCGTATGCGGGAGTGTAAGAGCATGACTGACTATAGGTAAGTGAGTCAGAGGAAAGAGAGGGGAAACTGGATGGGGGGGGGGGGGGTTCTGCAGAACTGAAATAGTTTGGAAGAAGTGTTGTTTACATAGCAAGATGTTGAAGCTGCAAATTCTAGTGGAAATACCAAACTTTCTCTTTCATTCCATGTTTTTTTTTTATTTCACTGATAATCTGTGTTTTTCTCCCTTTCTTGTATCCTCATTTTTCCCTGTCTTATTTTTTGTCTGGTCTTTTATTACCCTCAGACCAACATAGGTTCCATTCTGGCTGCAGTAAATCCCTACAAGCAGATAGCAGGCCTGTATGACAGCACTGCAGTCGAACTGTACGGCAAACACCAGATGGGGGAGCTGCCTCCTCATATTTTCGCCGTGGCCAATGAATGTTACCGCTGCCTGTGGAAGAGACACGACAGCCAGTGTGTTCTCATCAGGTGAAAAAAAACAAACTTCACTTTATAACCCACATCAGTTATGTGGGACCGACTAACACATGGGACAAGTTTGATACAAGCTTAAATGGTTAGAACTTTCCGTTTATTGTTTGTTCTTCTGTCTTTGTCTCCAGTGGTGAGAGTGGTGCGGGGAAGACAGAGAGCACCAAGCTGCTGCTGAAGTTTCTCTCTGTGATGAGTCAAAACTCAGCAAGTACTCCTCTGTCTGAGAGAAGCACCCGGGTGGAGCAGGCACTTGTTCAGAGCAGGTACTGTTTACAATACAGCATATAGTCCCAAATCTGTTTATGTATAAGTCTTACTAGTGAATGAACAGCTGCTAATGAGTTCCTGTTACTTTTAAAAAGCGTTTGTATTCTCATTGCTAGTTTGTATTTTGCACATGATCAGATGTTTAGGTTATAATACAAATGGACCTCAAACCTTATGGCAAATTCTGTTAGCTTGTCTTTTATGTTCATAGTAATGTATTTGATTGTGCTTAGTTTATATGACAGATGGATGTATTTAGTATGTTGTGTGTGTTGTTTTTAATTCATATTGTTATTGTCTTATTTAATGATGTACTTGTGATATTGACACATTTCTTCATCACATGCAAAAAAATACAGTCTCCATCAAAATTGTAATGCATGAGGTTTAGATTTATAATGAGCTAAGTAAGGGATCAGGGCATACTTTCATCATGAACAGAATCCAGATCTGGAAATAGGAAATACACTTCTGGGAGGACATTGTTGTCCATAGTAGAGGTGTGATTTTGTTCTTTTCTGCTCCCCTGTCTGCAGTCCCATCATGGAAGCCTTTGGCAATGCTAAAACCGTGTACAACAACAACTCCAGTCGCTTTGGCAAGTTTATCCAGCTCCACTTTTCCCAGAACGGAAACATCCAAGGAGGCTGCATCATTGACTGTATCCCTCATTGAGTCTTTAACTTACTGTAGAGGCATGTGATTACAATCGTTTGTTTCAGACTGTGTATTCATTTTACCTTGTCATTGTTTCTCCTTGACTTTAAATCATCAGATTTGCTCGAAAAAGTAAGTTTATGTTGGAGCGATCAGCTGCAACATCCTCAGCAATTTGATTGTTTGATTCAATCGACAGAATCTATTCACCAGAAACATTTAAACTTTTTCTTTTTTACCATCATCTCTTTCCAAGAACCGCGTTGTTCGACAGAATCCCGGAGAAAGAAACTACCACATCTTCTACGCTCTGTTAGCAGGGGCTGACAAAGATCACCAAGGTCGGTTTTTTACAGAGCTTTAAAGAACACTTAAAAATTAAAAAAGGTCAGGGTGCTGGTGGCGCAGTGGATAGTGTGCAAGTCCCATGTCTGGAGGCTGTGGCCCAGGTTCAAATCCGGCCTGTGGCTCCTTTCCCGTGTGTCAATCCCCACTCTCTCTCTCCCTGATTTCCATCTCTGTCCACTATCCTATCTCTCCATTAAAGGCACAAAAGCCTCCAAAAAATGTATCTTTAAAAATGAAAGAGGTTCCTTTAGCGCTAACAACCGACATATAAGAGCTATAAGGTTTTTTTTTTTTCAAGAGCTATACAGGAGACAGCTGTAGAGCTTGCTTTTTACATCCTTTTTATCAAGTTATTATTACTGTCCAGTAATTGAATGTGTGTTTATCTTTTTATGTCTTTTATCTCCCTATCAACAATCACTTTCACATTAAAAGGTTTGCAATCTGTATGTGACATAATCAATAGTATGAAAGCAAGAATCAATCTAAAAGACTCGCTTCAAACCGCTTGGCATAAGATTTCATTGTACTGTGTGAGTTTCATCATTTGTGTGTGTGTGTGTGTGTGTGTGTGTGTGTGTGTGTGTGTGTGTGTGTGTGTGTGTGTGTGTGTGTGTGTGTGTGTGTTTCAGATATGTACCTCCTGTCTGAGGGTCCTGAGTCATATCATTACCTGAGCCAGTCAGGCTGCGTTCAGGACAGAAGCCTTGATGACAAGCAGCTCTTCAACAGTGTGATGGTAAGGAGGCGAGGTTGATTTTAGTGCAATTGGTTTGTTCTACCTCCAGAGGGCGCTGTAATCCTTTATCACAGGCATAATACCACCTTACTAGAGGAACATGACTTCTAGGAAACTTTAACCCTTGTTGTTTAAATATATCATGTTGACATTTAGACATTTTCAAACATGTTTCTTGGAGTGTTTTGTGCCTCTAAGGGGAAATATTTTAGTCCTAACTGCTGTCATATCCTGAAGGTGTCTGGAGTGTGTTTATTTTAGTGTCTTTCTGGTGACATATTGTTTGACTTTGTCTATTATGTGTTGCAGGAGGCCCTGAAAGTGATGGAATTCACTGAGGAGGAGATCAGAGACGTGTTCAAGCTGCTCTCTGCTGTCCTCCTGATGGGAAACATTGAGTTCATGACTGCTGGCGGTGCTCAGATTACTTCCAAAGGAGGTAGGAGATGAAGTTAAAAATAAAAACATGCAATACACAGAGTGGGCTAGATTGAATCCTTACAATAGTGATTTTAGTATCCTCAATCTGTAATGCACTGTTCAAACATGACACATGAACAAGTCTTAAAAACTGAAGTTTTTTCTTGATAATTCCCTGGTTAGAGCTGTGTTATTTTTGTATTCACATATTATCTTCTAGCCTTTAATTATTCTATTGATTGCAGGTAATCAAATGAACAGTGATAGTGTACTATTAAGCACATTTGGAAGTACTTTATGTGCTGCAATGGATGCTTTTATCTTTAAAATGAAAAACAATAGACTAATATTTACTGGCGTTGAAATTAAAAAAATATCTTCGACAACTTTGCCGTATTCCCCATTCATGCTACAACAGAACATATGTACATATAAATACTAGTTATAATAAATAAATGATCAGATATCTTAAATTTTAGAGCCACATAAATCATTCATCCCTTGGCTAGCTTGTCATGTTAAAGCTTTAATCTGGCTAAGCAAGTGTTACTTTCTCAATCAGACGAAGAAACAACTTCACTTTTAAATCCAGAACATTCAGTTTATTTCCTTAGATTTGTAAACACAACAACAATGTTAGGGAAACATCTACTATATATGTTGTAGCAAAGACTGAACACATTTTCCTATTCTTCAATGCAGATTTAAGTGGTACATATTGTTTAAAGTAGTCAAGGTATGGTAATATCCTGTTGTTGTTGTTTCTGGAATTCAGCGCTTAAACTTGATTTTTCTAAAGCAGGTATGCAGCTTAACACTGATACTGTTCCACCGTTCAGCACTACTTCCCATACCCTGAGTTTGATTGACATTGCAGCAGCAGACAGAGCTCTGAACAGGCTGTAACATGAGCTCCAGGCTCCTTTGTTCGCTTTGTCTGACCTCTTTTCCAATGAACCACTGAATACAGTGACTGCAGAAAACTCTTAGCGCACAGCCCAGAGAGTAGAGTTTCCTTTACACTGTAAAGAATCACACTTTGTAAGTCACCTCTGTTGTTTAACATCAGGTCAGAAGCCCCGAACAGTCTGCATTAGTTACACTTAAAGGTACATGTTTGTGTGTGTGTGTGTGTTTGTGTGTGTGTGTTTGTGTGTGTGTGTTTCAGTTGTCAGTAATGTCAGCGAGCTGCTTGGCCTGGACTCCTTCCAGCTTTCAGAAGTGTTGACCCAGCGCTCCATGATCCTCAGAGGGGAGGAGATCTGCTCGCCTCTCACTGTGGAGCAGGTAACAATAGCACAACTTCCTTCAATGCAGGAACTAACAACTAACAACTAACACCTCAAATCCTGAAACTTCTCCTCGATCACTGTCATTTCACAGAGTTCAGGGATCATTCAGAAGTATCCACTGTCTTTAAAAACACCAAACATACAGGAGAGGCTTGTTAGTTGCCCCCTGTCCTCCCCCCTCCCCCTGTCACACACAGACACACACATTCACACATACAGCTTTTCTCCAGCTCTCCCCCCCCTCCCCCCACATGCCTCTCCAGATCCCTTGCGTGACTCCCAGCCATTTCCTGCTTTTTGTCTGCCAGATTCCTGGCACAATAAAGCCATCATGATAGTGATCTGAGTCAAAAGCACAATAGGGCCAATGACTGAGGCTGAAGTGAGTCTGCTCCTCCGCAGCCTGTGCAGCCAGGCACCGAGTCGCTGGCGTGATAACTCACTCTTTGGCTTCAATTGTCGGTGCCTCGTTCTGTAATTAATGTGGATATTTAACAACTCAATGTATGTGCTATCCTTTTCAATGGACGCCACGAGAACATGCTGACGCTCGACACCATCCTTTTCTGGTCCAGATTGAGCCTCGACGCCCACTCGCATGCATAAATATCAGCGAATATGCAGAACGGACCTTTACTATTATCACACTGACACAAGCGTCATAAGAAATCTTTTCATCAGCAGACAAAGACCCGGCTGCCGCTTGTTCTCGCTGGCCTTTGAAGCAGCTTGTCTCTTAATAGAGTTCATTATTCCAGTTCTGGAATCAGTGAGAATGGCTTCTTCTCACAGCGGCCAGGGGTCACCCACCCCACGACTGCCAGTTCTAGCCCCCCCCGCCCCGCTTCCCCAAACCCACCCGCTCTCCTGGACAAACAGCTATTCTTCTCCCCCCTGTGACGGAGATCCTGGAGCCACCAGTTCCCTGTTCACACCGGCAAAGCTGCAAGAGGTGTCGGGGCTGTGATTGATTTCTCAAAAGCCCAGGAGCATTGTTACCCCCCTAAATACAGTACACACCGCCACACTCTTGTTTTGTTTTCATTTCAAGCACAATGCCCGTGGAGGAAGTGCAGCTGGCTTAAGCTCAGACTTTTAAAATTTGTTCACATGTGGTGTCTGGCTGGAAGGCTAACTTTTCTGCAGCGGGAGAAAATCAGATCAGAGTCAAGAAAATAATTGAAACATGAAAGAACACATGGAATTGGAACGGGTATTGTTGTTTGTTTGACCTTTGTGTAGGGTCACAAGATACAACAGCAACCGATCTGGGGCAAAAGATCCAGATTAAATGACTTCAGGATCAATAATCCAATAATTTAGAAAAATGTATCATACCTTCATCTTTGTGATACACCTTTTTTTCACTCTAATGGCACATCTTGGGGTTATCTTCCAATTTTACTTAGTAGGTAAATAATATCATCTTACATATATTTCAGGCCTCATGAGAAAATCAGATTACAGACATTCAGATCTGAAAACAAAGATCCTTTCCTTCATAGCTAGATGTCAACAAGCCCCAACTAGATATGGCTTCCTATGTCACAAGCCAAAAATGTTAGGAGCCTCTGGTTTAAGATGAACTATTCACTCTATTTTAAACTTACAAAACACATTTTATTTGAAATCTCACTCCAAGCAATTAGCAAGGAACTTAAACTGTCAGAAAGTGGAATTAAAAGTAACTAAGAACGGCTCAGTCTTAAATGTTCATTAATGGAGCAGAAGTAAATGGCAACCACTTTCCACCACTCCATCCGCCTGCCTTTAATACACCTGACCTTTCTGCCTCTGTTGGAAGTGGAACAAAAGGTGCTACAGTGTGGGTGATACTTCTTTATGCAGGGTTAAAAAGTATTTTAACCCCCCCCCAACAGCACTTTCATATATTACTCTGATTTTTTTTAACGACATTTTTGTTATACAGTAAATACTGCCTGCTGCAGTGTGTCAATCTTGAGATATAAAGGTGATTAATGTGTGTTTGTTGTGAAAACAGACGTTGTCTTACCTGTAGCCCACAGCAGACAGATACTGACATAACTCACCTTTGTCTATAAAACACTATTTGTTTAATAGACACTCGACTGAGGCTTCACAGTTCAATCATCACGTGTGTTTAGTGTTTTAACAGCTTTAACCACCATCTGATTTAAAGATATGAAATGTACGACACACCATACTGTTACGTCATGTATATCAAGTTTCCTTACCCTTATTATTTATGTCTGTATTGGCAATCATAGTAACCTCCTCTGTCTGTGTCTTGATTTGCAGGCTGTGGACTCGCGGGACTCGGTTGCCATGGCGCTCTATTCTCAGTGTTTCTCCTGGATCATAATGAGGATCAACCAGAAGATCAAAGGCAAAGACAACTTCAAGTCCATCGGCATCTTGGACATCTTTGGCTTTGAGAACTTTGAGGTGAAAAAATCAATCGCCAAATAAAACTTTTCTCTGAAATCCGTTTATTCTTTTTGAGCTTTTCGTTTACACCATGTGCAAGATTGAGTGTGTTCTTCTTTTGTTGTTCTCGTTTGGAAAAGGTGATGTCACATGCTGGCATAGAACAGAATTAAAAAAGATATCAGTGAGATACTTGTTGAAGTGTGTAACTGAAGCAGGCATTTGACTTTGATAGAAACATTAGTTTTTTAGGCAATTAAGAATCTGATAACAGCTGTACGAGTTTTTGAATCTGAATATATAAAACACAAACATCTATAAAAGTTGAATTTTTGTATTAAGTGCTATCAAAGCACTAAAAATAAAAATTAAAACATCAATCTTTTAATAATTTGGGTTGATTTTGCCTGTAGCACTATAGATTATTGTAAAAAAAAAAAAATATTATGAGCTGTCACATGTAGATATATTCTTACATACATTTTCTGGACAATGTGCATATTGTCTTGCCAGAATTGATCAAAGCTGTCTGCTTCGAAGGCTTCCTCTCATCAGTTTTTCTTATCGTGACCCAATATCATGCAAAGTTTACCACAGAAGTCATAACTTGATTATTTGCTTCTTTTTTTGGAAAGTTTCAACGTGCTCAGTTTTCCATGGACAAAGCATCAGGACATTGTGACATTAGAGAAAGAGGGTCCATTATGAAACTCAATCAAGTGTGATGAATCTCCATTGCTCACACAAGCAGTTAAACTTTTATTTTTATTTTTTATAAACTTTTTTTTATTACTTTCATGCTTTCCTTCAGACATACTTACAAGTTTTTATCAACCAAAAATAATACCATAACATTTAACTTAGTTTACACTTTTCAAATCAGGATCACATGAGATATTTGCCTTTACGTCACAAGACACAACAGAGAAAACACATAAAATAAAAATATATAATTAAATAAATATAGAAACATGTACGTCAATGCAGTTAAACTTTTAAAGAAGTTGCATTTGCACCATCACATACTGTGGATGTTTCAGTGATGGAGACAGAGTACGTGTGATTTGTCATGTGAGTGTTTAAAGTCTTTATTAAACATGTCTGAGTAAGGGGTTTTAAAGCCACGCAGCTGACATCTTCTTCTGTCCTGCAGGTGAACCGCTTCGAACAGTTTAATATCAACTACGCCAACGAAAAACTCCAGGAGTATTTCAACAAGCACATCTTCTCTCTGGAGCAGCTGGAGTACAACAGGTTGGCATGTTTGATAAAACTCAAAATGTGAAGACATAAATTAACACAGAAAAGAAATGTATTCAGGGAAACCAGTGAAAGCACAGGGGCGACACAGGCAGCATGCCAGAGATTTGGATTCGCCTTAGTTTCTCCCCCGGACAGTTGTTTTCCTGTATAATGAGCCAGCAACTTGGACATGGCTCATTTCATCACATGCTCATGCCGGACAATGCAGCCATTGTGTCTTCCAAGTTGTTTATATTTTTGTATTTACACCCTGCCTCTGTGTGTGTGTGTGTGTGTGTGTGTGTGTGTGTGTGTGTGTGTTTGTCAGGGAGGGGATCCAGTGGGAGGCCATAGACTGGATGGATAATGCTGAGTGTCTGGATCTCATAGAAAAGGTAACAGACAGTCAGACAGACTCCAAGAGAGCAAAGTCACCACCAGGACCGACCACTAAACCACCATCCGGAGCACGCTGACCTCTCTGTACAACTCTATCATTATGTAGTCTCTTTTTGCATGTTGTATGCACAGTAATGTACACCAGGCAGCGGTTTAGAGAGGTATGGTTGAAATGAAACATGGAGACAATTGTATTATTTTACCACAAGAGGTATAATGATGGTTATAATTGATATTCTGCAGAGAGAGGCTTGTGACTGAGACGTTTCTGGGTCATATCACAACATACCAAAATACTTACAGAAAGCTAAAGACAACACTACAACCTTTTTCCCCTCTATATGTCATGATTGTGAAGTGGCTTAGAGCTCTGCTGTATTGGTTTGACCGGTGTAGAAGGTGTTGCTGCCAAACCCCCATGCCTCCTAAGTGAACTTTATTTTTACAGATAGAAAAGAAGATTGATGAATTGCTGTGCTGTTTCCTGTACTTATTGTTATAATAAAAGCTGTCAGATGTTCCATAATGGGATTATAACTAGTTCCATCATGACTGTGTTTTAACACTCTCTGCCCCTCTCTCTCTTTAGAAACTGGGCATGTTGGCTCTTATCAATGAGGAGAGTCGCTTCCCCAAAGGCACCGACTACACCCTTTTGGAGAAACTGCACAGCCGACATGCAGTGAGTCCACACACAAACACAAACACACACCACGAGGACCCTGGAACCCTGCAGTTTCTGTTAGGTTCTTGCACATGAGCAGCCCACATGAACAACCTCTCACAAACACCCCAAAATGCCATAACTGCTGTTAAACCTGATGAAGCCCCCGTTGCCTTTGGTGCAGTATTGTACATCATTCTGTGCAGTGTTTGTAAACGCCCCTGAGTGCTCTAACACGCACACACAACAATGCTGAAATGTGATCAGCTGTACTTCAGGCCTGGTTAGCATTGTGTGAGGAGAAAAGAGTTTCCAGGAGAGGTATAAAGTGAGACTAATGACCTCTGACCTCTCCCTGAGGTGTCTTGAGGTGTAAGGTGTTAGGATAAGGGGAAGAAGGAAGGAAGCTGTGTGATTTCATGCAGGAGATTTGTTTAGTATTGAGATTAAAAGTTTATTACTTGATTGAGAGGAAATCAATCTACTGTACAAGAGCAGCGAAAAATGTCAAATGTGTTGATTTTGTAGTAGATTTTTTTTTTTTAGTTTGTAATATTAAGACACATGAACAAAAATAACCCCGATGATAACCTTTTTTTTTAAAGTAAGAATTATGAAGAATACAATTCAAAGATAAACAGAAAAAATACCATTGCCTTTATAGATCTTTTGAAAAACAGTTTTTTCTACATAACTAATGAGAGTAAGATAGTACTCAAACAGCATGAATCAATCGTGTCTAGAGAGAGGACAAATAGTTCAGGTTGTCAAAATAAAGATGTTCCAAATGTAGGGAACCAGTTCAAACATCTGTCTTTGAATCAGAATGAAACCGGTTTCATTTTAAATGTAAGGTAATACATCTTACTGTGTATAAATGTTTTTATTTCAATTTCTATGTCATTTCTAAAACTGAGTCATTACTTTATCCTTTCTTCTCAGACTAATCAGTACTACGTGAAGCCCAGAGTCAACGATCACCAGTTTGGCATCAAGCACTACGCTGGAGAGGTAATTAACACTTACATACACAACACTCACACAGATACAAATCAAAGCTCCCTGAAGGAGAAAGTTATAAAAGTGGGTTAGTAGTAGTGGAGAACATGATGCTGATTCTGGCCTCTCCTCCGAAAAGATAAGTGCACAACTAGAGAAAGTGAATAAGGCAGGAGGTTTTGGATGTACTGAAGTGTGTGTGTGTCGTGTGTAAGTGATTGAGTGTGTTTGGGGGATGGGGGATGGCTGATAAAAAAAAATGACCTTATGAAGCCTGCCTCAGACAAGGTCTCCTCAGTGTGAGTGTGGAAGCTCAGTCACAAGCCTGGCATGATGATATGGCAATGATTCAGGCCAGAAAGGACAGGCAGGCCAACCAGTTGTCCACCCCCCCCCCCCCCCCCCCCCCTCTCACACACTCTTTTTCTGCAGAATTGAGTTGCCTCTCTGAAAGCTCCTTCTGTTATCTGTAACGGTACCGCAAGTTCATTGAGGGAAATAGATGCATCCTCCCGTTGATTCGATTATCAACGTGGTTCCAGAGAAATGCAGTCAGTTCAAATTGAAGTCTGACAAAATAAGCACGCTACACATTGTGAACTCAGGGGGCCAAACATACACATTTTACAAGTCTTAAGAGATTGCATTCAAACTGTATGTAGCTCCTCTTGATGAAGCTGTTTCTCTGCAGCATCATGAGACCATCCCACTTTACCGTCTTATTGAACTGAACCTGAAGCGTGCAGACAGACGACCTTTTGTATGAGCATGTTTCAATGAGAGGGGAATGGAGTGTAATCAGTGTGTCCGTCATTTATAAATACATGTGTCGTCAAGTTTTAAATCTCATGGCTCCCCATCAGCCTCTAGTCTTGGAGAACGAGGGATAGGGGTTGTTACTGGATTATAGTATACACACACAGCTGTGAATACGAGCTCACACGCACACACACACACACACACACACACACACACACGTATGTGATCCTTATTAGATTAGAGGGAGCATTTTTTATTTTACGTCTTTGCCTTTTCTTGCATAAAATCTTTTCTACGCGCTTTCATAACACAGGGGCACACACACACACACACACACACACACACACACACACACACACACACACACACACACACACACTTGCAAAACACCCATACAGACAAACACTCTGAGTGCATGAATTTCAGTCAGGGCGAGGAAAGGAATGTCATGTTGCTAAGACGAAGGCTGAACTGAACTCAACAGGTGACTGCATTAACACATAGGCCCTCCGCTGCACTCACATAGTGCCCTCCCCCCCCATCCCCCGCCTCTGGTCATACCCAGCATTCAAACACACATTCACAGTCCATCTCATGTCTCACTTAGTGCACATATAAGTGCAAGTTTACATTTTTAAAACACAAATTTTTCACTCTGGATTTTGCCTCTTGTTATTTTGCCAAAGGTTAAGAAAAAAGTGCACATTCGACACAATAAACTAAACAATACAACAAGACAAACAAGATTTAGGATGCTGGTGTGCTTTTTATGACTATAATGCTTTGAATAGCCTGGGATTATAAATATTGATATGAATACAAATACTGAAGTAATTTTTTTTAATCTCTTTCCTGAAGTCTTTAATTTTTATTTTTTAAGGACAACTTTGCCTTAAGTTTGAAATATTTGCAAAATTTTGCATAACCCAGTTTGCTGCAGGGGTAATGTGCACGCATGTATATATGTGTATAAATTATATGTGTATATACAGACATCTTTTCATGATAAAAAATCAATAGATAGATTGTTTAACAGTTTGCTTTGAGGAAGCTTATTTGCTGTTCTTTTTTTATTGATGTACATACCTAATCTCATTGAGAGATCAGATGTAATATACTGTACATGATACAATGTTGCTCTGAGAAATCCATTACACACACACACACACACACACACACACACACACACACACACACACACACAGTTGAAAACTTTTAAAATGACATTTCCCTTAAACTTTATTGGAACAACACTTTATAGCCCCTTGACATTATTACAGAAAATAACTGTGGTTTTTCAATAAGAATTCTCCAACCACACAAACCTTACATTAAATGGTTCAATAAGTTTTCATGTCATACATTATATAAAGCTCTTTGGATTTGAGCCGTTGACTTGAATGACTGCGTGTTTTCTACTGCTTAACAGTGAATTTTATTAACCTGTATTCTATTTGGATAATGCTGCATATTAATAACTTCATTTCAACTATATTTGCACAGTGCATTAAACATATTAATGACCCAAGTGTATAATTTGTACATCTTTACCTAATTCTATTTTCTGTTGAATTTCTCATCGTTCTTTTTTTACTCAGTTTTTGTTGCTTTTTTGTTCCGCTGTATAACCATCAAGTCTTTTCTTATTTTATATATATTTTTTTATTTATTTCCTTATTTATCTTGTCGGAGTTGTTATCCCTCTCTGCTATATCTAACCTTTTTTTTCTACCTCTCGTCTATTATAGGTGCTTTATGATGTGCGAGGGATCCTTGAGAAGAACAGAGACACCTTCAGAGACGACATCTTGTTTATTCTCAAAGACAGCAGGTATCACACTTGTTGTCTGCACAAACCTGTGTGCTTTACTTCTCTTTCTTGGTTTAGTTTTTCACCAACGTATCCCGTCTCTCTGACTGCATCTGCAGGCTGGACTTCATCTACGACCTCTTTGAGCGTGTCGGTAGCAGAAATGGCGACGAGACCTTAAAGATGGGAACAGCCCGACGCAAGCCCACCGTCAGCTCTCAGTTCAGGGTGAGACTGAAGTTTCTGTCAGACAAGATTGTATGATGCTGTCACCACTTAGACAATGAGCCAATAGTCTCCCATGTTCTGCTGCATGTAGTAATCACTTAACCCTTAACATTTGACTCTCTGCATGGTGAGGGTGAGCGGGCAGGCAGAAATCACAGAGTGTTAGAGGGGGGAAAAAGAATGCTCTCAGTGTGTCTGATCTGCAGAGAATAATGGGTGTTGGGATGTATGAAATATGTGGTTATGGTCATGGAAAGGGTGAACTGAAGGGCTAAGCTTAGCATGTCCTAACTGCAGTATGGAGAAGAGAGAGAGAGAGAGAGAGAGAGAGAGAGAGAGAGAGAGAGAGAGAGAGAGAGAGAGGGAGCAGGGGAGATTTTGGCAGGCTGCCCTGGCCTACAGTACTTAGAGCCGGGGGATTAGGGTTGATGGCTGGGCAGAGAGAGGCCAACCAGGGGCCAATCATACTCGCCTCTGCCAGGCCCGGCCTCGCTGGAGACAGACTGTCTGAGGAGAGAAACGGCAAGGTTCGAGGGTCCTCGTAGTGTGTGTGTGTGTGTGTGTGTGTGTGTGTGTGTGTGTGTGTGTGTGTGTGTGTGTGTGTGTGTGTGTGATAAGCTTTAATAAATCATTACTATTTGATGCATTTTGTCCACAACACTTACTTTCTAATAACACACTTTAATCTCATGATTTTAAGTTTTAAAAGTTTTTTGTTGTGTGTAACTGAAAACTCTGATTGTCCCTGTATCAGTTATGGACAGTAACTCAGGACACATAATCGACTTTCTATTAGTGCAAATACTTAAAAGCTGTATTTTTGATACTTAATACTTAATACACTTCATACCCACTACAGAGAGAAATCATGTACTTCATACTCATATAGAATATCGTTTTGCATATTGCAAACACCTTGATTTTACTAAGTAAATGTTTATTCTTAGTGTTCTCAGAAAACTCAGATATTATTTAATATTTAAGTGTTTATACGTTTCTTTTTGTGTGTTTAAAACAAATGTTAAAAACAGAAAAAATATTATTCACTTACTGGTATACAGATTTATACAAATGCATATAAAAGAAATAATAAACATATTAAATTATGATGCTTTTTTAATAAATGTGAATAAATAAATTAGAACCAACAAAGATAATTATGAAACTAAGTTTAAATGGTGGTTATGATTTATATAGATAATGAAACAAACCTTGTATGAAATTAGACTTACATAGGAACATTTGTAATAAACTAATGTTATTGCTGATGTTATTCCTCTTGTTACTGATGTGTTTCAGGATTCTCTTCATTCACTGATGGCCACACTAAGTGCCTCCAACCCCTTTTTTGTGCGCTGCATCAAACCAAACATGGACAAGGTAGGTCATGCAAATTTCCATTTTCACCCTTTCATGCAGTGTCATGAAAAAGATCCAGAACATTTTTTACTTGTTTTACTGCAAATTGTCATTACTCATGAACTCATGCTGCAGCTTCATAGCTGTGAAGACTCTCATTGTGCTTCCTCAAATAATAGGGCTGTGTACCATTACATTCCTACCACTTTATCCCTTCCACCAGAGTTCAGAGGTCACTGCTCCAGCTGCAGCAGTGACCTCTGAGATGCAGCCAGCAGTACATTTATTTACCGGGCCTTCATTTCTGGATCACGTACGACTACATAACTGCAAAACCTCTAAAAATCTGCACCGTCATCCACTTTTTTTTTGGATATTGGATAGTGATAGAATTATGTGACAGAGTGAATTGGCTTTTCATGTATTTCACTTACTGCATAACCATGGAAACTTCACTTTGCTGGTCTTGCCTTCTTTCCTTGGATTGCCTCCTTTTCTTTTTTTCTCTGACACTTTCCAGGCTCTCAATCACTGTCCATCACACTCGCTCACCTGGCCTCAGTTGCTCTCAAGATGGAACAAGCTGTGTCTGTGTTAATCCTTCAGTATGGCAGGATTGCGTGTACAAACATCTTACATGACTGCATGCATGCAAAGACACACACACACACACAGAACACACACATACTTACATGGAATGTATTAGTGCAATTTGCTTGCACTTGCTCATCTTGGAAGAAATGTCACCAAGAGAAGGGTCATCATGTTTTCACTCAAACAAGTCAACATGCCGTACCTCTTTCAGCCCTCTAAGTCCTCCACTAAAGAGCAGAGTTCAGAGCTCATGTTTATGAGTCGGTATGTGCGTTTGATTATGAACATGAACACATGCATGCATGCTTCTTTTTCCATACATACTAGCATTAGTCTGTAATTAGACTAACACATTTGGGGAATGCGGGGGTCTTGTGTGAGGCTTAAGCAGTGCCGTCTGACCTCTGGCTGACAATGGCGTTCGTGTGGTCCCTTTGAGCGGTCAGGCCACCTGTGCAGAGGTGTGAGGCGGCAGACGTCACAGATCCATACTGATAAGCAGGCCTGAGGATCATTGGTGAGCTGTGAACAATGCAGCTTATTATTCCAAAAGGAAAGGCCTCCCCTGGTTGCTCTATGCTGTTCAGGTTTCTTTCTGTTAGCATGACTTTTCTGTGCAGTAACCTGATTGTTAATGTCAAATGATAGCACTCAGCGTGGTTATTTACCTTTTTGCTCAGGTTTAACATGACTCTACATTTCAATAAGTGAGTGGGTTCAAAAGTGGAGGATTATATTTGCCTGCAGTGTTCAGTTGTGCCAAAGTTTCCCCTAAGGCAAGGCAAGTTTATTTATATCGCACATTTCAACAACAAGGCAATTCAAAGTGCTTCACACAAGACATCAGAAGCATCATGACAGAGGAAAGAAAAGAAACATTAAAATAGAAAATTAAAAAAATCAATTATTAAATCGGAAAGTAGGTTCAAATAAAAATAATTCAAATGAAATTAATTTAAATAAAAAAAATAAAAGTAAAGAAATTAAAAGAGTTAAAAGAAACAATAATGATTACAGTGCAGAGTAAAAGTTTAAAATCTTATTAAAGCTGTTTAATGAAAGGCAGCTGTAAACAGGTGAGTCTTCAACCTGGATTTAAAAGAGCTGAGAGTTTTAGCAGACCTGCAGTTTTCTGGGAGTTTGTTCCAGATATAAGGAGCATAGAAACTGAACGCTGCTTCTCCATGTTTGGTTCTGACTCTGGGGACAGAGAGCAGACCTGTCCCAGACGACCTGAGCGGTCTGGATGGTTCGTAATTAATCAGGAGGTCACTAATGTATTTTGGCCCTAAACCATTAAGCGCTTTATAAACCAGCAACAGGATTTTAAAGTTTATTCTCTGACAGACTGGGAGCCAGTGTAAAGACCTCAGAACTGGACTGATGTGATCCATTTTCTTGGTTTTGGTGAGGACTCTAGCAGATAATCAGCATAACATCCAACATGCTGACTAAGACCTGCATGTAGGTTGACTTTAAATGGACAGCTGTTGATAGAAGACTAGAAAAGGGCTTTACAAGCTCAAGTCCATTAAACATTTACTGTCTCTCAGAAGGAATGAACAACTGTTTCCTTGTTTGTAGGTTTCATATTGTTAAATGTATCTTCATCCACAGAAGGCCAACCGGTTTGATCCTGATGTGGTCCTGAACCAGCTGAGATACTCTGGGATGCTGGAAACTGTGAAGATCCGCAGGGCTGGATTCCCTGTCCGCAGAACATTTAAGGACTTCTTCAGCAGGTCAGAAAAATACCCACAGAAAAGCTCTGTGCACACCAAAGCTGATGACTTAACTCAAACATGATACATTTAGGTTTGACTAACTCAAAAAAGCAAGAAACAAGAAATGTTTTTTCCCCCGCTGTAATCCAAACAAGGAATATTGCTTTCTACTGTTCTTGATTATCTAAATGTTTGTGCTTATGTGTGTTTGTGTTGCCAAAGGTACAAGATGATCGTGAAGAACAAAATCCACACAGATGATGAGAAACAGAGCAGCTCGGAGCTTCTCACACTTCATGACAAAGCCAAGAAAGAGTGGCAACTGGGGAAAACAAAGGTGAAGCACATATGCACACACAAATTAACACTTACACACACATGCTCCAACTTGTTTATGTCACAAAGGAGGACATTACTTTGACTTACATTCAAGCCCTTGAAACTCACAGTGAATGTAACCACCGACCTTAAAATACTTGTAACTTTATACCTTACATTATCCAATCACAAAGTCTCAAACACTACATTTTTGGGTAAACTTTGTGAGAACCAGCTTTCTGTCTCAAAAATAGGACCTGAATCCCCATCATTTAAGATTTAAGATTTACTTTATTGATCCCCGCAAGGGGAAATTTCAGTTTTCAAGTCATGAACACACACATAGGCTGAAATATACACACACATGCAGAAACAGGATCCTATGGACATGCACTAATGGAGAGAAGCCAGAGTGACGGGGCTGCCCACACAGGTATGAACATACATACCTTTATGAAAATAGAATATCAATGTTATCAAACCTATTCTTCAACATAAAGAGGCCATTGTGATGGTTAAATATGTTGTCTTCACTGACTGATCTTTCCCAAGAAGTCAAGCTGCTGTCGTTCCCAAGCTGTTAATGTGTGCCACAGCTTGGACAGCCCCAGCCATGACTCATGTCCCAAAGATTTTTTTGCAGGCCGGTTGTGGTCAGTCTACTTCTCTCCTGTTGACAACCACAGAGTTTCATGGTTATTCCTCAAAACCCTGAAACCAACAACAACTGTTACTGTAACTGTAACCCAGTTCGGGGGCTTACAGTAATCCTGAGTCCGTCTTATTGTAGCTGGAAGAGTGTTAGCTACTTGACGTTTACAAAGCGGCTGATTTAATAAACTCAAGTCTAGGTGAGTGATTTTCGCGGAGGTGAAGAAGAGTTGCAGAGGTTTGAGGAAAGACACATCTTTAAATGAAACCACGATTGGCATCCTTTGCAATTCAGCTCTTATCGTTCACTCATCATTTCTCTCTCTGGCCCTAATTCTCTTTTCTTGACTCTCTTTGCATCTGTAATGATTGTTTTAAACAATCATCAACTAACCCACTAAAAGCTCTCATTGAATAATTAACCTTAACTGATTTGTTTGATCCTGACAGTACAGCCTCTTTTGCCTCATGTGCACTAAAGAGGGGAGCATGAATGACCCCTACAAAACATAAAGTGGATATAGATACAACAGCTTTGTTGGCTTTTTTAAATCAGCCAAAATCCCATTTCTCCGTCTTTTACTTCCTGCCTTAATTAGTGGTTGCTCCATGGTTGTTAACTCACAGAGACATTTTAAATTTGTTGATTCCCCTTCTAGACAATATTGTTGTTTTACCCTTATTTTGCTGGCACTACTTTATATAGTGTCAACTGCACACATGGCATGCTGGGATATACATGGAGACCAAAAATGTTCAATGTGAACCACATGTTGGTTTTTAATGAATCTATAACCGCTGAACATCCCACATTTAAACACATGCCAATGTATATTAAAGCTTTCACACAGTCACTTCAGAGAGAGAACTTGTTTTTCTGGGGGTCAAAACGTTGACCTGTGGCTGACTTTGCTGCTCCACTTTAAACTGTGTATACATAGAAATATTTGATTTGCGACCCCCAAAAATGCAAAGAGTGGCTGTGTCTGTGTCGGTCAGTCCACATGCTCGGGTTTTTGATGGCAGTGTAATATTTTTGGGCTCAGGAAATGTAGTGTGGGTTGTGGGAAGGGGATTAAGAGAGTTGAGGAGGGGGGGGGGTGCATTTCCTTTTCAGAAACAATCTGTATGTAATTATATGCCCTGATTGTGTAGAGGAAGTGTATGCTCAGAATTAGGGGCTCAGGTGACGTTGAACGGATTGTGTACGTGTGTTTGGGAGCCATTTGTTTCACAGACGAGGGAAGGATGTGGACGAAAAAGGAAACTTCCTCCTTTCACAGACTTTTCTAAGGCAGGCCGGGGTGCAGCTGTGGGACCCTTTGATTAGTGGAGCATCTGGGAAACACACACACAGACACTCCAAGGTCTCCCCCTCTAATACAATCGCTTGATCTTCCAGGCTAGAGAAATCCAATATTACATAAACCCCCCCACATTTAATGTAGGTTGTTGAATCTCCCAGCCCGCTAACGTAGTCATCTGATCACAATCTGATTGTGTTTTAAAAAGTCATGTGACTTCATGTGTGAGTTTTAGTGTAGAATGAGATCTAGGCTGCCGAAAGTCCCACAGAAAGAGGACCAACTTTTAAAAAAGTCTCCAGGAGCAAGTGAGGGGTTAAGCAAACTTTTTGTCTTCCTCATAAGAGCAAGTAGGGGTGTGGCTTTCTATCTGGACACCAGCCACCATCCCGCCCACTCATCTCTCCATCCCTCCTCTCCCTACCTCTCCCCTCCCTCTCTCTGTGCCTCTCTGCCTGCGCACGTCAGTCGAGCTATCAGTGTGCAGCGGTAGCAGCATTAGTAGGGAAACTCTCAGGAAGGACGCCTGAACACAATGAGGCTCTGCAGCAGCAGCTCTTGCAGCGACACTGCAGTCCCAGTGCCTGTTCTCCCCTCTGCTCTGCTCTGCAGTCAAGAAGAGCAGCTAGCCTGCTAGCCTCAGCTGGCCCACAGCTTCCTCTGCAGCGGGCACAGGGTGCTGCCAACAAAACAACAGGGGCCCTTCACATCTCTGTGGGCCTTCTTTTGCAGCCAAACCAAGGAGAGGAACTAACCCATCCTGTCTCCTTCCCCTTCCACCCCCCCCTCCCCTCCTCCCTTTCTGTCTGTGTGTCTCTGTCTCTGTCCCTCCCTGTGGGCCGTGGCGCTGCTTGTCCCGCAGGTGTTCCTGAAGGAGGTCCTGGAGCAAAGGCTGGAGAAGGAGAGGGAAGAGGTGCGGCGCCGGGCTGGCATGGTGATCCGCGCCCACATCCTCAGCTATGTGGCAAGGTGAGTGGTAGAGTGTGCAGGGTGGGGGGGCGGGGGGGTGGGAGCTGAGTGGCAGCGACAGTTGTCAGTGTTTGTTTTGTCATAGAGGTGTGCAGCTTGTCTGTTTGTGTTTTAAGGTGGAAATGATGTGTGCATGTACATGCCTTTGCACTTTTACCTTTGTGTCTTTATTTACATTTGCAGAAGTTGTAGGCTCTCTAGAGCAATACACAAACTTTGAAGTTATTTAATCTCACAGGTAAAATCTTTTGAGCCTCTAAAAACACGCTGACTCGCCAGTGGGTAACTCTTTACAAACGTATGCTGTGCTTTGTTGAAATCAAGAGGACTTTTGTTTACATAACAAATATGTCATGCAGACTTTGAGCAATGTGTCACACCTACTACATAGTGTATGTACTCCAGTAGGTCGCCTGAACACACTTCTGAATCATCCACTCTGATTGCAAAATAATTTCAAAATTCTGCAGCGATGAAAAGTGTTCAGGGTTCTTTTGGTTTTTAAGGACAGGGAGGAAAGTAAATAAACGGACGCAAAAGACACCCTGATTTCTATTTCTAAACAATCTGGAAGCAAACTTTCTCTCGTTTGGATCCTACTGTTAGCTTCAAAAACTTTATTAACTTTATTATTTCAGGCACTGAGTAATAGAAGGAACATTCTGACCTTGAAGCAACTTGGAGCGTCTACACTGAAGTTAACAATATCTCATCAAGTTGACGAATATATCTCGCAAAGACTAGTGTGATCTGTACTATTACACAAGTCATGGCTTTTTAAGTTGGACCACTTTTAAACCGACTTAAATTATCAGGAAACTAAAGCCCTGTTCATGCTCACAGATTACTATCAGCTGGACAGTTGATGATGTTTTTATCCCCTGAATAAATCTCTTTTTTTGGCTTGAGCAGTGACTTTTTCGCTGACTATCCCCTCTGGCTGTCAGACAGGACATCCATCAGTATGGTGGTTTAAAAATATGCACATACAGAAGCCCTAAGGCATGTACTGTAGCTGTGTTCCACCTGTGTGCTGCCGTGCGGTCACATATAGTCCCTCTTCTGGGAGAGTATAAAGGGACTGATGACAGTGTGCAAGTTGCGAGTTCTATTCCCTACAGAGGCAAAGCAAGAGATGAGTAGAGCCTTTTGTGTTATTATGTGTAACATTAGAGCTGTCAGAGGCCACAGAGTCATTACTGTGGAGGCTAAAGGTCAGAGATTCAAAGGCGGTGTGTGTGGTCCTTTAGTTAGACATGTGTGTGTGCTTGTGTTTATACATGTGTGTATTCAGTGCATGTGCAGTGTGTGGATGATGGGGCTTAGTCACAGGGTTAAACTCAGGAGCCCACACAGCCACAATGGCCAATCAGACTCTAAACACTGCACATTTCACAATGTACAAGCTTTTTTATCCTAGCGTTTATTTAAACTGAGAATGCCAGTGGGCGGATGGGGAGGCGATCATGTAGCAATGTCACATTTTATGTTTGCGGGTGAAACTAAATGTGATAATGTTGAAGTAAATGTGGCTGCTTTTTTTTGATGTGTGCTTTTGTTTGTCACTAGGAAACAGTACAAGAGGGTTCTGTCCAGCGTCGTCACCATCCAGAAGAACTACCGCGCTCACTTTTGGAGGCGCGTCTTCCTGCGCCTGCGCGTCGCCACCGTCATCCTGCAGAAACACCACAGGGGGCAGCGGGCCCGATCCGTCTTTCTCCAACTCAAGGAGGAGAAACGAAGGCAGGAGAAGGAGGAGGAGGAGAGGAGGAGGAGAGAGGAGGAGGAGGAGAGGAGGCGAGTAGAGGAGGAGAGGAGGCGACGGGAGGAAGAGGAGAAGAGGAGGAAGGAGGAGGAGGAGGAGAGACAGCGGCTAATGGAGGCGGAGATAAGGAGGAGGGAGGAGGAGCTGAGGCTGATGAAGGAGGAGGAGGAAAAGAAGAAAATGGCGGCTAAGGCAGACGAGAAAAGGTAAAAGTCACTGTGATATGTAAATAATGCTTTTTGAAAATAAGATGACTATAATCATTGTTTTATAATAACTTATGTCGCCCCAAATGTGTTTCCATTCTTTTGCAGGAGCTCGCTGGTAAATGGTGTTTGTCAAAAGGTAATTTATTTCAAATATTCTATACATACTGTACATCATCTACAGTGTCAATAAAGTTATTAACAGAACAAAATACATCATTTGGACTCATTATTGTGGCAGAGAGTGTTTGAACTCGCCCTCTTTGTCTTTCTTTCCTTCCACCCACAGAAGGAGCTGTCTCAGACTCTCTCCCACAGTCACACCTCTGAGGAGGAAAGCCGTCAGATGGAGGAGATCCTGCGTCTGGAGAGGGAGATCGAGCGTCTGCAGAAGCAGCAGGAGGACGGCGTTTCCCTCCTCGGAGATGTCTCCCGCGAGGAGCTCCGCCAAATGAGGGACGCAGAGATCTACAGGCTGGAGAAAGAAGCCTCCCGCGTGGCTACTGAGTTCCTGGATCTCCTGGACTTTGGCGGTTTGGAGCCGTCCCTCTCGAGCGAAGAGAACCTCCACGACCCGACGGAATCCACCGCCCCGCTGGCCGAGGAGGAGGTCGACGAGGGTTTCCACGCTGACGAAGAGTGCATACCTTTGCCGGACTTCCCTTCTCCTGCTGTGGTTCCCCTGGATAAAGATGTATTCCAAAGTATCCCCCCACCTCCTCCTGCTTTTGCAGAAGGACAAGTAGTACCTCCCACCTCGGCCTCCTCACCTGCAACTACTGCACTCTCTCCTCTGACCCCCAACGGGCTGAGCGATGCCTCTCCTCTCGCTGACTCCAGAACATCCAGACCTCCACTTCTTTCTGTAGTCACCAACGGAGAACGGAGGAGGACGGGCAGGGGGTCAGACTTTGAGCCCGCAGGCGAGGAACTGACCCAGACGGACGCGCCTGACGCAGAGTCGGACTATGACCAGGAAGAGTTTGACGAGGCTCATGGGAGCTCAGGTGCTAGCACTAATGATGGCCATATCACGGATGAGGAGGTGCTGCGAAAATCCTCCTGCACCCAAAACAGCCTAGACTCCTTCAGAGGCAGCTCAGACTCGGTGAGACCAATCAGCCAAAAGATAAATCAAATGCTGCAGATCTGATCCAGAGGGGTCACTATTTCTGAGTGGGATTGTAAAAGAAAAAAAAGTTATGTGTAGCAGAAAGGTATAAGAAATCTGTCTTTGAAAAAATGTTTGCCCTGAAATTATACCCAAACATGGATCTAGTGAATTTCCCTCTTCTATGTCAGATCTAAAGAAAGCCCCTGTTCAGATATGACCTGACATACAACTGGCTCTGCTCTGGAGATATTATTCCCACTACACATTTATTAAACACCCTAAATTTCATACCCAGTATTTATTATCAACACTTGTGCAAGCCTGAATACTTCTCTGACATTCATTGGGCACCTCTCATGTTAGAATCACAGTGAAAAACTGCTCTGATTATTTGCTTTGGCTCTCCATGTATTCCATGATACAGCTGGAAGCTCCACCCTCACTCACACTGTGTCAGATCAGCAAAATGTCAAAGGGGAAGAAGACTGCATCTGTTTGCAAGTGTGTGGGTGGATGTGTGGAAGTGTATTTAACATTATTAAGGCAAGGATGAGTGAGAAAATGACAGATTTTGGGTCATCTTAGAAATCTAAAAATATAGACTCACACTTCCTGCAGTCTCCAGGACACAAAAAAACCCTCTTCTTCCCTGAATTAATCACAAATGAGCAGTGTTTATTTTTTTTAATCCTTGCTTGTTGCTTATAAATTCACTCACTGATTCATGTTATTATGACTATATTTGAGTAAGCACCGTAAAGCAAACATGCAAAGGGAATCCCTCATCATAAATGTTGGTGTTTGTGTTTCAGTTCATTGACAGCGATGAGGAAAACGATGGCTACGTGGACACAGATGAGGAAGTTTCCAATGGGAGAGTGCATCTGCTGAATGGCAGCGGGCCTCCATACTTCCACGGCTACCTATACATGAAGAGTGAGTAGCTTTACCAAGTTACTGCCCTGCCGGCATGCGGACGTAGCTGCACTGCTAACCACCACGTGTACTGTTGTTTCAGAAGAGTCTAATGGTCCTCCTTTTTAAATGTTCTACTCTTAATATATCCATTTGTTAAATATAGTGTTTTGTTGTTTCTCATGTGTTTTGCATATACTGTATACATCCATGAATGTTGCTAGAACATCATGTATTGGTGTAGTTTGGATGTGATTTTTTGGGGGGATTAAAAAGTATGTTTTACCTCTCTGATTATACATGATTTCCCATATAATGCCATAAATAAACATCTTCTGTCTCTCCTCGCTGCACCTTTCCCTCTTTTAGGCGGTCTGATGATTCCGTGGCGTCGTCGCTGGTGCGTCCTCAAGGATGAGACGTTCATGTGGTTTAGGGCCAAACAGGACTCCGTCAAATCTGGCTGGCTTTACAAGAAGGGAGGGGGTATGTCCACTTTGTCCAGGCGCAACTGGAAGATGCGCTGGTTTGTCCTGCGCGAGTCGAAGCTCATGTACTTTGAAAACGACAGCGAAGAGAAGCTTAAAGGAACCATCGATATCCGGGTGGCCAAGTAAGACCCCGATCTCAGACCAGTGTGGTTAAAAATCATCAGTTTGTTTGTCCTTTTCTTCACTTAGTTCTGATCTACTCTGGGTCTTTTTTCAGGGACATAGTGGACAATCATGAAAAGGAGAATGCACTTAACATAGTGACAGAGGAGAGGACGTACCACATCTATGCAGAGTCTCCAGAAGATGCCAGGTATATTATCACATATTGAGATTATAGACTAACTCTGCCTGTTTTGTAGGGTAGTGTTTTTACTTTGTTATCATCTATTAAAAGTGATGTGTGGAAATAAAGTTCCCCCTTGTGGTTGCCAGTGGAAGTTCATGGAGTCATTTGCAATTACACATTTGCTGACTTTCACTTTCTGAACTCCCTCTGACCCTGTCCAGTGGTTGGTTCAATGTGCTGAGTCGGGTCCACAGCGCCAGCCCGGAGCAGCTCGTGGAGATGCACCATGAACAGGCCAACCCAAAGAATGCCGTGGTTAGTGCTCTTTTACTTCTTTACTGCGAGAGCCCCAGCCTCTACATTCATTTGTCACCAGGAATAATGGTGATGAAGGAGAAAGGTTCAGATTGGGGTTGCATAGTTACCCAATCTTCCTTTTGGAACGCCTTCAGCTTCTTACCTCAAAGTTCATGGATCCTGTTTTTGATCACCCTGACCAAATAGTCGTTCTCAGATAATTACATTTTTCATAATAGTAAAATGCTTTGAGTGCCAGTGTGAAAAGTTTGCTATAAAGCTATTGTGTTAGCCATATTTGTTTTTTGGTTTTTTTGGGGGGGGCATTTTGTGCCTTTAATGGAGAGATAGGACAGTGGATAGAGTCAGAAATCAGAGAGAGAGAGAGATGGATCTGACAAGCAAGAAAGGAGCCACAGGCCGGATCCGAACCCGGGCCGCCCGCTTTGGAGGACAACAGCCTCCATACATGGGGCGTGCAGACTAACCACTGCGCCACCAGTGCCCCAGCCATATTTGTTTTTAAACGGAAATGTTATGTAACTTATTTTTCCCATCTTCAGAACTACCTGTTGATCCCTCCAAGAAAAATATTTGTAATAGAGAAAGAACTGTTAACGTTTAAATGATTCCTTCTTCTTTTGTCTGTCCAGGGCACGCTAGATGTGGGCTTGATTGATTCAGTTTGTGCATCAGACAACCCAGACAGGTGAGGAAAAGACAATAAATCTTTATGACGTACGTACACTAAGATGTCATTTTAGTGTAACTTTGGTTATGTGTTCGGCTTTGCAGACCCAACTCGTTTGTGATCATCACGGCTAACCGGGTGATCCACTGCAACACAGACACACCCGAGGAGATGCACCACTGGATCGGCTTGCTCCAGAAATCTAAAGGAGACTCTAAGGTGGACGGACAGGAGTTCATAGTCAGAGGTCAGTCAGCTGAGACTCACAGTCTGATTGATTTATGCAAGAGGTACCACAGTGTGGTACCTCTGGTTAGCTCCATGCATGGTGGATGTGATTGTGCATTAAAAAAAAAGAGAAAATAGAAACAAATGTTTGAGTGATTGCAAAGGGAACCATCATTTTGATCTAAGAATACTTTAAAGTGATATTATTTATTTTCTCTCAGGCTGGCTGCATAAAGAGATGAAGTCTGGGGCCAAAAGCTCGTCTCTAAAGCTGAAGAAGCGCTGGTTTGTCCTCACCACTAACTCTTTGGACTATTACAAGTCATCTGAACGTACTGCCTCCAAACTGGGAACTCTCGTCCTCAATAGTCTCTGCTCTGTGGTGCAGCCGGACGAGAAGGTCTTCAAGGACACTGGTCAGTTCATGATCAACAGTAATGCCATCTTTAGCAAGGGAAATACACTTCAACAATTTCAACTGTAGTCTATAGTCTGCAGATCATTCATCTTTCTCAGATGTTAGCTCAATCAGGGAATTCCCTTCTTCTTTTTTTCACTCAGGTTACTGGAATATAATCATCCATGGACGTAAACACTCTTACCGTCTCTACACCAAAATGCTGAATGAAGCGATGCGATGGGCGAACGCCATACAGGGAGCAATAGACAGCAAAGTTCCCATTGAAACCCCAACACAACAACTCATCAGGGATATCAAGGTACTCTTCCTTTCTTTATTGTGGCATTGTTGCTAATGTCCTGCTAATAACTCTGAACTGCTGTGTGATTTTCTCTACATATGCTAGTGATAATATCACAAGTATTGCTGCCCGACATTTCACTAACATGTGATCATTGATATCGTTGTAACTCCTATTCTTTTCAGTCATGCAAACCTTTGGCAGGGACTCAAACTTTAGTGAAGTGAGGTACATATACTCACTGTGTGTGCAGTGATCTGCTCTAAGTCTTGGCTTTTCGTACTTTAAAAAAGTTGTTGTTTACCTTTTTTCCTCACATTCCTAACTGTACTGCAGTATTTATATTCACCACTGGTGTTGCTGCCACTCTGTTGTTTTACCGCTGTTTTGATTTACACTCGTAATTCTTCACCACTTTACTGTTAAACAACGTGACAACTGTAAAACATTTTTAATTTCTTTTCAGGAGAGCAGTTTGAATGTGGAGGCTGTGGAGCAGACGTACTGGAGGAACCCCATCCTGAGATATACCCAGCATCCTTTGCACTCTCCTCTTCTACCTCTTCCCTATGGAGATGTCAGCCTCTACTGTGAGTGCTCTGGTTTGACCAATAAGATTTCTACTTTGTGTACTGGCATCATTTTGTTGCATAACCATGTACCTTGAAACATTGATTTCTGTTTATTGAGTTTGATTGTATCTTTATTGAAGAGTGGAATATTTTGTAAAATCGACTTTACAGCATAACGGCTCACAAGCAAGAGAAGTTTTGTTATTTTCTAAAAAAAGAAATCTGTTCACATATATAAGGAAGTTTCCAGTATGATCAACTTGTTTGAAGGGGGGGGGGGTGTTTAAACATTTATATTGCAAGCTTTATTAGAACAACGTATCACCAGTGTAATGTAAATAAAGTATTTTGAATCTAAAAAAAAAGTAAGCTTTTTGCTCATATTATAATCCCCTGTGTGTCTCTGTCTCCCAGTGCAAAAAGAAAAGGGTTATACCAGCCTGCAGGACGAGGCTGTGAAGATTTTCAACTCGCTGCAGGAGATGGAGGCTGTATCGGACCCCGTGCCAATCATCCAGGGAATCCTGCAGACCTGCCAAGACCTGAGGCCTTTAAGAGACGAGGTTTACTGCCAGCTGATCAAACAAACCAATCATGTCCCTCACCCCAACAGTCCTGCCAATCGCGCCCACTGGCACCTCCTGACCTGTATGAGCTGCACCTTCCTGCCCAGCCGAGGCATCCTACGCTACCTCAAGTTTCACCTCAAAAGGTGCGCGTGTTTCATTCATGCCATCATAACAGCTAGCTGTAACCTCTAGCTCACTGTCTCTATGTTTTGGTGTGTTTTCAGGATCAGGGAGCTGTTCCCCTGTACTGAGATCGAAATGTTTGCCCATTTCGTCGGCGAGTCTCTAAAGAAGACCAAGACCAGAGAGTTTGTTCCCTCCCAGGAGGAAATCATGGCGCTGCTCTCCAGGCATGAAATGACCACCACAGTTTACTGTCACGGAGGAGGCTCTTGCAAGATTTCAATTAACTCACACACTACTGCTGGAGAGGTAAGCAAGCGCTACGTGTCACAAAATATTACTTCTTATTTACACAAGCCCACACACAGATATTTAGTGTTGTGTCATTGCAACAGGTCAAACTTTTGCATTAAAAGTAATATTCTTTTTCTTGACTTATATTGTCCAGGTGGTGGAGAAGCTGATCAGAGGTTTGGCTATGGAGGACAGCAGGAACATGTTTGCACTATTTGAACACAACAAAAACATTGACAGAGCCGTGGAAAGCAGGGTGATAGTGGCTGATGTTTTGGCTAAGTTTGAAAGGTAAGTTATAATCACAGGTTAATCTCTATTCTATAATATATATATATATGTTTCAATTCAGATCCATGATGATGTTGATGCTACTTATTTATACTTTCCTTGTGTAATATATGTGTTTTTGGTATTATTAACAGAAATTTAA